TGACAACAGGATGATAAAAAAAAAACCTTTCTCTCTCTCTCTATCTCTCTCACTCTCTCTATCTCTGGGCACTGCATGCTGGCATTCTAGAGGGGTGGGGGATGGATGGGGGAGAAAGGGGGAGACAGAACAGAACCTCCAGGTCATATGATGACTACAGGATGAACCCCCCCCCCCCCCCAGAACCCGTAGAATTGTTATCTTTCATACACAGTTTTAAAAAAACAAAGAAAGTAGAATTATTATCTTTTGGACAGTAGAATTATTATCTTTTGAACCCAGTTAAAAAAACAAAGACAGTAGAATTGTTGCCCTATGTAAACCACAGAGTAGGTAGAATTATTACTGTTGAAGAAACCAGAGTGAGTAGAATTATTACTGTTGAAGAAACCAGAGTGAGTAGAATTATTACCATGCTGATGTTAGAATTGTTACCCTGTTAAAAAAACCCAGAGTGAATAGAATTGTTACCCTGTTTAAAAAAACAGAGAGTAGAACTATTACTCTGTAAAAAAACACCAAAAAAACGAAAAAAACAAAGTGAGCAGAATTGTTACCCTGAAAAAAACCCCACCAGAGTGAATAGAATTTTAATGGTGTTTAAAAGTAAAAACCCACCAGAGTGACTAGAATTATTATGGTGTTTAAAACAAAAAAACCGAGAGCGAGTAGAATTGCTACTCTGAAAAAACCCCTAGAGTGAATAGAATAGTTACCCTGTTAAAAACCAAACAGAGTAAGTAGAATTATTGTGGTGTTTAAAAAAAAAAAAAAACTAGAGCGAATAGAATTGTTACCCTGAAAAACCCCCCAGAGTGAATAGAATTATTAAATTATGGTGTTTTAAAAAAAAAAACTACTAGAGTGAGTAGAATTATGAAATTATGGTGTTTAAAAGTAAAAACCAAATAGAGTGAGTAGAATTGGTTGCTTTTAAGGACAAGCGGGCTATCCCATATTTCGAGGGGTTTCCAGAAATTTTGACCTACACCAAAAGTGGGCATTGCCCTACCTATAGAAGAAGTTTGGTTTCACTGGTGTGTATATTTGTTTGGTTATTGAGAAAACTCTCCTTGTCTTTCAAAGAAACTGAACAAGGGGCAAAAACTTTACCTACGATTTTCTCAAAACAGCATAAATTTTCCGGATAGCCTTCTTGTGCTTAAAAGCGACCAATTATTATGGTGTTTAGAAAAAACAAACTAGAGTGAGTAGAATTATTAAATTATGGAGTTTATAAAAAACCAAAAAAACTAGACTGAGCGAATAGAACTGTTACCCTGTTACAACCTTAGACTGACTAGAACTGTTACCCTGTTACAACCCTAGACTGACTAGAACTGTTACCCTGTTAAAAACCAACAGAGAGAGTAGAATTGTTAAGGTGTTAAACACTTTGTCCCCTCATCTCGCCGTACTGGAATTTCCCCAAAATATGATGGCAAAGTGTTCAAAAAACCAACAGAGTGAGTAGAATTATTAAATTATGGAGTTTTAAAATACAAACAAACTAGAGTGAATAGAATTGGTACCCTGTTAAAAACTAGAGTGAGTAGAATTATTAAATTAAGGAGTTTTTAAAAAACTTAAAAAACTAGAGCAAATAGAACTGTTACCCTGTCACAACCCCAGACTGACTAGAACTGTTACCCTGTTACAACCCTAGACTGACTAGAACTGTTACCCTGTTACAACCCCAGACTGACTAGAACTGTTACCCTGTTACAACCCTAGACTGACTAGAACTGTTACCCTGTTACAACCCTAGACTGACTAGAACTGTTACCCTGTTACAACCCTAGACTGACTAGAACTGTTACCCTGTTACAACCCTAGACTGACTAGAACTGTTACCCTGTTACAACCCTAGACTGACTAGAACTGTTACCCTGTTACAACCCTAGACTGACTAGAACTGTTACCCTGTTACAACCCTAGACTGACTAGAACTGTTACCCTGTTACAACCCTAGACTGACTAGAACTGTTACCCTGTTACAACCCTAGACTGACTAGAACTGTTACCCTGTTACAACCCTAGACTGACTAGAACTGTTACCCTGTTACAACCCTAGACTGACTAGAACTGTTACCCTGTTACAACCCTAGACTGACTAGAACTGTTACCCTGTTACAACCCTAGACTGACTAGAACTGTTACCCTGTTACAACCCCAGAGTGACTAGAACTGTTACCTTGTGAATACTGTGGTACATCTGCAGCAGACACAGCTTGTGGAACTGATGTCCACACTTGGTCAATTTGATCGCGACGTGAGCCTCCGGGTGACCTTCCCCGTAAGACGAGGGCTCGCTGAGGTGCTCGCAGCAGATGGCACAGTCGGTAGAGTCCAGGGCCTCCGTCACAGGCTCCATGAACGCTCCCAGTACAGCCTCTCCGCTGTTACCTGGGCAAGGTAAGTGTTTGAGTGTATGTGCGGTTCATCCTCTCCTCAAAAGGACATTTTTATGAAGCTCAACTCTACTCCTCCACCCATCCATCCGTCAAAATTCATCCCCACAGCATCACCTGTTTATTCCCAGTCCTTCATTGTACTTGCATCGCCTCCTCCCCACCCCTTCACAACAATAAAACTCGTACCCCCCCCCCCCCCCATTCCTCCCAAACCAAAGTAATTTTTCAAAAAGAATAAAAGAATAAAAATATAAAAATCCCTACATATTCTACCTGAAATAAACTGTACCTCCCCCCCTCCTCCCCTAACCAAAGAGAAAAAAAAAAGAAAAGAAGAAACAAAATTTTTTCATCCCCCTAATACTGTACCTGAAATACCTTCCCTTCAAAAACAAAAAACAAAAACAAAACAAGACAAAAAATTCAACATGACGTGTCACAATGCTCGTCAATTTTTGGCCAAGTAGAGTTACTGGTATCATCTTAAAGCCTGTTCATCATGTCTTGTTTTCGATTTTTAAAATATCAATCTATCTTGAATAGAAGTTGAAATATTTACGATTAAAGGAGGTGGCGGTCACCTGGTTTCATAGATAAAATTAGCGAGAAAAATGGCTGCTAAAGTTTGGTAACTTCAATAGCTTGAGAGTCTTTGAAAACTGAAAAAATCACATATTTTTTGCCTTTAATCAATGTTTTTCAGTAAAATTCTCATGAAAATGCGATTATATATGGACATAAAAGTAAGGCGTTGAGCCAAAAAAATAAAATTCGACAAAAATGGCCAAGATGACAACCCCCCCCCCCCCCCCCCACCCGTTTCTCTTCAATTTCACCATTCTGACAAGCGCCTGATTCCATCACGCTACGCTGCCTTATGTATTATTATTTCCTATCCCTCTCACCTTTATCTTTATCCTTCCGCGTCTTGTGAAGAACAACTGTACTCTCCAGGGGCAGCGATTCTGTGACGGGACCCGACCCCGCCGAAATTTGGACAGCCCCGTGCATCAAGGTCGTTTGGGACGTCGCCTGAGCACCCAGCCCCGGGGCCCACGCAGGGTTATTACTCGCCCCAGCCGCGACCAACTGCGATGGGTGTCTTCCTGATGACGTAGACCTCGGCGGTTTTCCTGCTGCAACATTCAATTTAGATTTTAGTAAGAGTTTTACGGCACTTGCAACACAATAAGGTCATGGAAGTGCCGAAGACCAGAGGTATTACAAGAGAGTAACAAACACAAAAAAGGAGAGAAGATAAAAACTATAGATGTTTGATAGGAAAGAAGAAGCAAGCCAGACCAGAGCACCAGCAAATCACTCACTGCCATGCTGTGCACAACTCAAGTGTAATAAGAAGCTTAATCCTATCCGTACGTCATGTTTTACTATCGCATCCATACGACGTGGGGAACTCTGTGCCACCACTTTCCAAAGAGGAAATTTACTCGTTAATCCGATCTGTACGCTTTGCATAGCAGTCTGTCAAAATGATTTTTTGAGAAATACTGAAAGTTTCAAAGAGATCTTCGCACTAGAAGTATCCTAAAATGTGAAGAATACAACCCGGGGGTACAAAATGACCCCAGGGCGTACGGACAGGGTTAAAGAAGCAGTAGGCCTACCTGCCATGGCCTGCTGATGCGACTGCAATATCTTAGCGACCTTCTGTGACCGCTTGGCCTGTGCTGCACCATAGCTGCTGCAGGACGGCTGCATCTGTGCGGTCCCATTGGTGCTGCTAAAAGGCTGCATCTGTGCTGTCCCATTGCTGCTGCAAGACGGAAGCTGTTGCGCCTGGGACAGAGCCTGAAGTCGACCACGGGTCAGAGGTACCTGGACACACAAAACAAACCAGTAGCCCGTCATCATCATCATTTGGTTTATAGTTTTAGTACAGGTTTTTACGGCGCTTGCAACTACATAAGGTCATATGAGCACCAGAAGATTAGAGGTTATACGGTGCTCACAACTACATAAGGTCATATGAGCACCAGAAGATTAGAGGTTTTACGGCGCTCGCAACTGCATAAGGTCATATGAGCGCCAAGAGGAGGATGTCAACTGAGAAGTCCAAACGGGGAATCAGGCTTACTCTTTTTAGTTTTAGCAGAGGTTTTATGGCGCTCGCAACAGCATAAGGTCATATGAGCGCCAGAAGAATAGAGGTGTTACAAGAGAATAAGAAACATAAAAAAGACGAAGGGGACCACAGATGTTTCATAGGAAAGAAGAAGCAAACCACACCAGAGCACCCGTCAACCACCCACATTAGGTTTTACTGCGTTTGCAACAACATAAGGTCATAATATAAGCGCCAAGGGGTGGATGTCAACAGAGAAGTCCAAACGGGGAATCAGGCTTACTCTGCTCCCCTCTCTAGCCTCAACAGCACAAAGTCTGCTCCTCCTATCAAGGCACCCCGGAAATATCGGGTCACAAGAGAGGGACAAACATACAAAAGAAGTAGAGGAAAATGACAATAGTAAGGATTAAGAAAGAAAAAGCAGCAGTTCCCTGTTGTAGATCAGGCACAGTTATGAGCATGACATGATGAATCAGCCCATTTACAATTCTGCTGTGCATGAACGAGAAAAGTCCCCCCTTTGGGAATGGCCTAAAGACACTACAGTCAGCGGCACTGCCCCGGGGGGGGGGAGGGGAAGCAAAGCAAAGTAAAGTAAAGTTAACATACACATGTACACAAACACATACAGTCAGGCTAATGTGTGTCGCTGCAGCGTGTCCCTACCTGAGTCTGTGACTGTGTGGCAGCAGTCGGCTGTGCGGGCACTCCTACACCTGTGGGAGGCAGAACAAAGAGAACAGGTTTGAGCTGATGGACACAGGGGGTGTGAGGTGGGGGTGGGGGGTGGGGGGGTCAGAGGTCAAAGGTCAGGTCATGGAGAGGTCAGGTCAAGGAGAGGTCAGGTCTTAGTTTTAGTAAGTGTTTAGTAGCAACACAATAAGGTCACATAAGTGCCGAAGATTAGAGGTGTTACAAGAGAGTAACAAACACACAAAAGGAGGGGAGATAAAGACGATAGATGTTTGAAAAGGAAAGAAGAAGCAAAGCACACCAGAGCACCGACCAACCACCCACACATTGGTGTCAGAATGCAGTGCGTGATCATAGTAAGCCTGGATCAGCTAAGCTAAAGAGAGAAGGGGAGATAAGGACGATAGACAGATAGGAAAGAAGAAGCAAACCACACCAGAGCACCCGCCAACCACAGGTCAGAAGGATACACCAGTGTCAGAGACACACACATACTACAAAAAAGATAAAAAGCATTATAAACGACCCATCACCCCCCTTTCCATGCAAATTGTAAGATCACGCAGTGGCAGATATGTACATCCAAAAACAAAGAAAGAAAGATATAAAAGAAGCTTTTTACCATCTAGCACAAGGCTTTTGTCAGAATGAGCATAGTGATGTGTGTTGCTCTTAGAATATGTATGTATATAACTCCAAAGGTCCTGTAATTAAATTCCTGTAAGTGGTTGAATGATGAATCTGGCAGATGTGAATGTATATTTTGTCAGTTTTACTTCTTTTTTCAAATTGAATTTTAATGAGAGTAAAATATAACATAATTTTTTTATGTATACACCTGCGTGTGTTTTTACGGACCTGTACAGCCAAGGAAACTTTCCCTCTGGGATAATAAAGTATTATCTTATCTTTATCTTATACTACACACAAGCATAAAGCCAAACAGACAGACAGACAGACAGACAGACAGACAGACAGACAGACAGACAGACAGATGATCACTCACATAAAGAAATCACGCTGAGCTGAGTTGTTGCAGAGCACAGTACCCTTTCGTCACTTATGAGACCTTATTGTGTTGCAAGTGCCGTAAAACTCTTACACAAACAAACAGCAAAGCAACCCAAAACGGCAACAACCAAATTTTCCAACCAACAAATTTGAAAACTACAAACATTTTTTTTTAAAGTAAAAAAGGGAGATCACATCTGAGCGGCCACCAACCATCCCAGGTATAAACTCACTCCCGCCACCACAAGGCTAGTCGTAGCAGCAGCCGCAAACATTTGTGCGTGCCCCCAAGGAAAGGTGCCAAGAAGTCGCCCCAGATCGTTTCGAGCTACAGGCCGATAATGACAAAAATCACTTTTTTGACCAAAATGTGCTTCCATAAAAAAGATAGATCCAACATTTCTTTACAATGTACTCAAAGGATTTTCATTGATTTGACTTCTAAATGTTTTATTTTGAATTATTATGAGGGAAGGGTATAATAAAAACAAATAATGAAAACAGCTTTTTAAAAGGTGTTAAAATCTATTATTTAAGCACGTTTTCTCTTCCCTGCTATGTTTTACCGTTGAATTTCATTCATGATATCGATGTCAACTGAATGCCAAATTGGAAATGAATTTTCCATGAATAAATACATTTTAAAAATAGGTTTTTTAAAGTTTCTCTGTGTTCTCACGTTTGTTAAACTAAAAAGCTCATTTTCTCAAAATTATATTTTTATACCCTACCTCGCAAAAAGTGCAATATCTCCAAAACTACTTGAGATATCTAAAAAATTCAAAGACCCCTGTGTTCAGCATTGAATTATTTCCTATTTACAAAGTACAACCTTTATTTCAAAATGGCCAAAACCTGACTTTTGGTACCTTTCTTTAGGCACACACACATTTACCTGAGAGACCGCCTTGACCTTGAACTGTGGAAGTCGAAGAGGTCGCGGCCATGTTGTTGTGGGCAGCGGGCAATGAGTAGGGTGCCGCTCGACGCTTCGCCTTGAGTTTCACACGAGAAGGACCGCTGACTGCTGGGAGGGAGAGACATCAACGTCCACTAGGTCGTCCGCGCACACACACATACACACGTATGTACGTACATTCACACACACACGTACACATACATGTTCACACACACACACACACACATGTTCACACACATATGCTCACGAACACACTTTCACACATACGTTCATGCAGATGTCCACACACACATTCACATACAGGTTCACATACACGTACACACACACTTTCACACATACCTACACACACATGTTCACACATATTCACATACACACGTTCACACACACACGTTTACACATATGTCCACAAACACATTCACACACACACGTTGACATACACACGTTCACACACATACACACACGTTCACACACACACGTTTACACATATGTCCACAAACACATTCACACACACGTTCACACACACACGTTGACATACACACGTTCACACACATACACACACGTTCACACACACACACACGTTCACACACATGTTCATGCACACATTCACACACACTTGTTCAGACACATTCACACACACAATCACTATGTTAAGTTGTTCACACACACATTTATTATCAATCTGATAGAAGGGCCTTGGTTCACACTGTCAAAGTTTAAGTCCTTGACACACAGAATTTCCTCACTGACATACGTACATAAACGCGTGCGCATACACTCACTCACACACTCACGCACACATAAACACATGCACACACACACACACACACACACACACACACACACACACACTCGTCAAGCTAGAAAAATGTGTGACATCGCTGAAAATGGGTTGGGTTTTTTTTACGCACTATGTAGAACAAAACTATTCTGTGGATTTATCTGAAATGAATATCAGACAAATTCCTTTTGACTTCCAAATGTTGAGTACAAATTTGAAATGCAACACTTCAGTCAGGAGGAAAATATTAGCAAAAAAAGTTGTACAAGTTTTTTTGGGGATCACCCTGTAAATGAGTCTTGAGAAATCGTTTAACCCTATCCATACGCTCTGAGGTCATTTTGTACTCCCGGGGTTGTATTCTTCACATTTTAGAATACTTCTAGTATGAAGATCTCTTTGAAACTTTCAGTATTTCTCAAAAAATCATTTTGACAGAATGCTATGCAAAGCATACTGATAGGATTAAAGAGTAATTTCCTCTTTGAAAAGTGGTGGCACAGAGTTCCCCACATCGTATGGATACGATAGTAAAACACAACGTACGGATATGGTTAAATGTTGTGAGACTTATATTTCTCAAACATGCAAATTCTTCACTCTACACTGTACAGCGCTTGCATCCCTCTAGGGATTAGGCGCTGTATAAATTCCCATTATTATCATTATTATAGTTATCATTATTAAAGGCAGCATTAACAGAACATTTGGAAACACAAAGATAACTAGTTAAACAAAAACAAAATACGTGTTAATCCAAACAAAATATGAGCCTTTCTAAGAAAAGTTCGCCTATCTTGGGTACTATACCCTTTATGACCAAGATGGCCCAAAACAGACACGAGCTGGAGATCCTTTGTTGCTGCCCTAAACATCAGACGGCGTAATGGGTAGTAAGTAAGTACCCCTTATGGATGTTTTCAGCCATATTCATCATTTGAGTGATGTTTTCCTTAATATCGATGAAATAAATTGAGCTCACGAGAGTTTAGAGCTGTAAGAATATTATATTATATAATATAATACTATTCTGCCTAATGGGAGCTCTCAAAAACATAAATATTGTATCTACTTCGTGAAAGTTGCAATATTGAAAAGTGAACTGTATGCGAGGCATCGTGGTGAATCAGGCGCTCGTCATAATAATGAAATCTGAGAAATCTGCATTTTTCTGCCAGTTTGGAAATTTTTTTTCACTTTTTTTTGGGGGTGGAATCAACACCTTGTATGTCCATTCAAAAACACTTTTATTTGTGGATTTTATGGAAAAACGTTGATCAAAGACACAAAAAATGTAAATTTGCAGTTTCCAAAGAATCTTATGCTATTGAAGTCACCAAACTTTGGCGGTTATTTTCTCACTAATTTTACTTCTGAAACCAGGTGACCCCACCTCCTTCAATCGTAAATATCTCGACTTCTATTCTGGATAAATGGATATTTTTTTCATCGAAAGCAAGACAAATGAACCTTTAAGATGATACCAAAACTCCATATGCCCAAAAATCTACGAGCGCCTGATTCCACTGCGCCGCGACGCATATGTTCTAATATCGTGTTTGTACCATTAAGGCACACTGCATATGCCCGAAATTAAGGAAAACGTTTATCATTTTGATATGAAGTAAGACAGACATTAATGTCAAGAGAGTTATTTTATCGATAAGACTGGTACATGTTAAAGATACGTGTGTTTGAAATTTCGTTGCCTCAGAACTATTTTGTCCAAAACGCCTCTTTACTTAAGCACACTTTGGACAAAATCATTCTGAGATGACGATCTGTCAACGGTGTTGTTTTCTGAGAATGCATAAATTATTAACACTTCGCGGATACTTGGCGCAACAATGCGCCGGTGAAAATGATCCATTCTGGTCACCCTGAGAAGTCCGCTGCTTGCAGTTGCTCTCCAGGCTGGGTGACTAGACGAGGTATTTCATACTGCTGGCTGTGTGACTGCAAAGAGTTAAATAAAAGCTCTTGAAACCCCAATATTTGGAGGCTGTTTCTCATTTTGAGATTGTTGTACGCCTCGTGTTCCCCTTTTCAGTGCTGAGGTTTTTAGGAAGGCTCATATATGGTTACAACACGAGAGAAACTCGACAAAGAAATCTCTTTTTTCCACAATGTGGCCTACCTGTGTGTACAGAAGTTGCCAAATTAGTCACCGAGACCCGAGGGTAGAACTGTGTCAGAGAACACCTCCGGATGCAGCGAGGTTTTCCAGTTTCCATGTTTATCTGAAAAGCAAGTACGAAAAAGCTGTGCAGAGATAGCATGCTTCACCAAGTCTTACTACCCTCCTTCATTCTCTCCATCTAACCCTCCTTCATTCCCTCCATCTAACCCTCCTTCATTCCCTCAACCTGACTCTCCTTCATTCCCTCCACCATACCATCCTTCATTCCTTTCACCTTATCCTTCTTCATTCCCTCTACCTTACCCTGCTTCAATTCCTCCATCTAACCCTCCTTCATTTCCTTACGCAAAAGCTGTGCAGAGATAGCATGCTTCACCATGTCTTACTTACTACCCTTCTTCATTCCTTTCACCTTACCCTCCTTCAGTCCCTCCATCTAACCCTCCTTCATTCACTCTGCCTGACTCTTCTTCATTCCCTCCACCTTACCCTCCTTCATTCCTCCACCTTACCCTCCTTCATTCACTCTACCGGACTCTTCTTCATTCCCTCCATCTAACCCTCCTTCATTTCTCCACCTTACCCTCCTTCATTCCCTCTACCTTACCCTCCTTCATTCCCTTCACCTTACCCTCCTTCATTCCCTCCACCTTACCCTCCTTCATTCCCTCCACCTTACCCTCCTTCATTCCCTCCACCTTACCCTCCTTCATTCCCTCCATCTTACCCTCCTTCATTCCCTCCACCTTACCCTCCTTCATTCCCTCCATCTAACCCTCCTTCATTCTCTCCATCTTACCCTCCTCCATTCCCTCCATCTAACCCTCCTTCATTCCCTCCACCATACCCTCTTTCAGTCCTTTCACTTACCTTACCATTATGTAGCCTTTTAGTTTTAGTAAGCGTTTACGGTACTCGCAACTGCATAAGGTCATATGAGCGCCAGAAGATTAGAGGAGTTACAAGAGAGTTACAAAAATAAAAAAGAAGAAAGGGAGATAAGGACGATATATGTTTCATAGGAAAGAAGAAGCAAACCACACCAGAGCACCCGCCAACCACCCACTGAGTCACAATACTGAGAACTCCCCATGAGAAAAGGTGCAACGGTCAAGGAAAGAAAATATTAGGAAAGGCAAAGGCATGAGACTAAGTGGAAAAGTCAGGGGTGGAAACGGAAAAACAGGACGGCTGAAGGGGGGAAGAAGTGGAAAGGCCAATGATTGGTGAGAAGTCAAGGTCAACAATCACCATCGTCAAGATCATCATAACCATCATCAAGCGCTAGACCTGCTGGTAGACATCAGTGATCATGGTTCTCCATTCATTCCTTTGCGCGGATCATGTTCTAAAAAAAGCTACGTTACTCTGATCGTTCCCTGTTACCCATCTGTTTAGGTTCCCTAAGTAGAGGTTGCTTTGCGTCTTCCCCTGCCTTGTTTGCTTTCAATTTTGCCAGTGAGAGCTAGATGTTCAAGACTTTTATGTCTATTCAGGTGTCCTAAAAACTGCATTTGTAATTTCCTGATTGTTTTCAACAGTGAGCAGCCCACGTAGGCTTCATCAAACATACACTACATACATAAAAGTACACAATTACATCAATAATACAGGATCATTTGATGACCATGCCATCTGGTCACCACGGTGCAGAGCTCTGCTTTTTTTTTTTAGCAAGGGTTGTCATGTGTTGCTCAAGGACACACCCCAGTGAGTGACCACCCATCTGATCCCCGTGTCACCGACACTTGCTCGACTACTTTACTCTTTTGAGTCTAGAGACTCACCACTTAACTAATGTCCTGTCTTGTGTGCGTAAGTGTGAGTGCACCTAACCATTGTAACGTCTACTGCCATTGTTAATTAACGACCAAGACAAATTTCTCCCAGGGAGAAGAATAAAGATTGTCATTGTCATTACAGTTTACTTACTTCAGATTTTGGAGAAAAAAAACTGAAAATGAGCGGAGCTTCACACCTCACCTAAAAGGAACCTTATAAAATCTTTAAAAGAGTAAAACAAAAACTTTTCTCTGACCATTCCCCTTTCCTTAAATTGCAAGTGTATGAAAAAAAACGGAAAAAAACTGACATTTGACATCCCTGTCACTTAGCCACTGACCACTGCCGTACAGAAAACCAGATGTGGATTATATATCTACCTGTTTCATGTCCTCTACGTCAATGAGGTACGGCTGCTTCACAGTAGTCATTCTCAGATCTACCATTCCAGAATGCATCACACCAACTGTGTTGACCATACTGCGATAAAGGTCCTCCAGAATTTGCATGCTACTGAGATCGTACGTGAGCCAGCCTTGTGAGGGGTCGCCCTCCACCTGCCATACCATGCCCTGGCTCAGGGCCGAGTTGCTCTCTTCCACTGTCCGCTGGACGGGAACTTCTGTACCTGCCAAGACAAACAGTAGAATAGATAGATAGATAGATAGCATTTGTATAGCGCAAATCCCCGCTCAACAGCAAGCTCTATGCGCTTCCCAGATCTATACTATTACCCCAGCAGACCTGAGAGCATTCCAAAACAAACTCAAACTTCCTGGGAAGCATACACAGTGCAAGCAGCCATTTATAGGTGCTAAAACACTAACATCTTGACAAGATCTTTCGATGTCTATGGCCGGGTACCCATTTCCACCTTGGTGAAGTGAGGAAAATTCGTGTTTAGTAATGTGCTTTTCCCAAGAACACAACACCGGCCCCACTGCTGGAACCCCCGACCCCGCAACCTCATGATTACGAGTCTGGTAGCCTAACCACTAGGCCAACATAGACAGTAACATGATGAGGTTTTTGTCTTGAGAGTTTATAATTATATGTGAAATAAGATCATATGATATATATTTAAGACTTCTTTTTATCTGTATTTGAAGAAATAGACCTAAATTCTTTTCTGCCATATTTTTTAAAGTTTTAGTAGAGGTTTTACTGTGCTCGCAACTGCATAAGGTCATATGAGCGCCAGAAGATTAGAGGTAGGTGTTAAAAGAGATTAACAAACATAAAAAAGAAGAAGGGGAGATAAGGTTTGGACGATAGATGTTTGATAGGGAAGAAGAAGCAAACCACACCAGAGCACCTGCCAACCACCCACAGCCATATTTTTCATCGTTTGAGTGTTAGACACGATACAACACGTCCACCCACATCATACCATACAAATGACATAGCTTACCAACCTGAACAACCACACAGTACATCAAACAAATCATGACACAAATTACTACGCTTGACAATCATACAACGCATCAGTCAAAAAACATCTCACTTACATCATGAATCATAATAACTACACATCATCAGTCATACACGGCACATATATATCCGTTACACAATGTGTCTCTTATGACTATAACGTCTAATGACGCGGTGGAATCAGGCACTCGTCAATTTTTGGGCATCTGGAGTTATTGGGTATCATCTCAAAGCTTGCTCATTTGACTATCTTTCGACGAAAATAACACACACAACTATCTTGAATACAAATTGAGACATTTGCGATGGAAAGAGGTCTGGGTCACCTTGTTTCAGCGGTAAAATTAGGGAGAAAATGGCCGACAAAGTTTGTTGATTTTCAAGGCTTGATTGAGAGTACTTAGAAACTGAAAATGCACCTTTATTGTTGAGAGTTTAATCAAGAATTTGGCAACATCCAAACAGGAATATCTTTTTGAATGGACAAAAAAGACGTTGAGCCAAAAAACAAAATTACAAAAAAATTATCAAACTGGCGGGAAAATACTGATTATAAAATATCTTCGATTTCATTATTTTGACGAGCGACTGATTTCACCACGATGCCTTACAATTATTATCAATTCTTTCAGGCCTGCGGCACCTAGGGGCTAAACTTGTCCAGGCCACCCACCCTATCACTCCAAAGGCTAACCAAAAAACTCAAAATATCATGTATCGTATACAATATTAAAATCAGTCGTAAGTCAGTTAGTAGCTCGCATTATAATTATATAGTAGGCAATCTCTGGTTTTCGCCCCCAGAGAACAGGAATCAGTGGTAACAGTGACTCAAGGGGATAGACTTTTGTAGAGTTAGTATCATCATTCTCATGGTTTGTAATTCCAAGTACAGTAATAATTGATGTAATACCACTGTGCCGTACCTAGATTCTTCTATTTTACACTGTGACTACGTTTACGGCGCCCGGAGCCTCTGAGTGTAGTTTGCAATGAATGATCTTGCTCACTTTACCTTCTACCCTTTTACCTTAAATTGCTTCTTTTTTTCACCCCCTCCCACCCGATTTCCCATCTTGGCCTTCTCCCTTGCGTCTTCGAACGACTCTCATAAAAATATTTTCAAACTGTCGAGCATTGCCAGGTCTGCACAGGGGAAGAGGATCGAACTCTCATGTTCTGCGCGCTGAGCGAGCGAGGCCTTGTCGACAGCAGCTGTTTTTCTGTGCCCACCTTCACACTCCATTAACTCTGTTGCATTCGGACCACAGCTACGTTAGCCTATTTGTCATTCATACGAGCATTCCTGTGCCGTTTCCTCATTCACTTTGAGCGACCGGAGTAGAGTTTCAGTCGTGCCTCTCTGTGCCAATCAATGGCAGATGATTCAGGGCGTGGTGAACGTAGTCACTGCGTTTAATTTCTGTAATCTACACATCTAGATCTAGATCTAGATAGATTTAGATGAAAGCATGATTTAGGCCTATATATCCCCTTCTATTCAAAGAAGGTATAATATTGTTATTGATATTGTTTTCACACATCAAAACATACACATACACAAGATAGATCACCTAGATCTAGATTTATACACTATACTATAGATAGATGATATATGAAGATTCTAGATCTAGAATCTAGATCTATATCTTTTGGGGAGGACTTCCGTAACAAGCGACCACTATGAGACAGAGCAGAATTGAGGGCTTGGGGTAGGGGTAGGGGTAGGGGTAGGGGTAGGGCTCGGGTTAAGGGTAGGGTTAGGGGTAGGGTTAGGTCTAGTAGTCTAGGCCTCTTCTTTGTGTTCGCATGCATTGTGTTTGATGGGGTGGTCGCTCGTTACGGAAATCCTTCCATATTTTGTCTAAAGGAAAGGCTACCTGTTGAAATTTCAACTTGTCTCATCGTAGTGAAATCGATCTGTAAATCTGCCAATGCATGTGACACAAGCCCTAACCAAACTTTAGACAATGTTGCAACACCGGCTGAGAATGCATTCTCAATGAACTGACAAACATCGGGCTCATAAACGTTCCATAATCTCCTTGAATTCAAATACGACCACACAACGCATCGGTTGGGGACTGCCATTCTAAGAATCTCGATGTAAGCTAGACTAGACGTCTAGATCTAGATTTACACAGAGAACAGCGATTGACTCTTTGTTTCAGTTTCAGTCACTGTGACCACCACACCACACAGTCAGACACTGTTGTGTGTTAGTGATGGGCAGGTATCGGTACCAGGTACTCGATACTTAGATACCTGCTCTAAACATCGATACCTATGTGTTATTTATCCCAGTGCTTCCAAAGCAAGTGACTTGGGCCTTGAGAATTTTTTGTTTATCAAAACTGATAAGTTTTCGTAGGGGTCAAGCGTTTTAAATTAATTTAGTGATTTTTTAACAAAAAGAGAGAAGTTTTTCATGAAATCTATCTGGTGATTTTGCAAAATCCTCACTGACAACCCTGATTTATCCTCATTAGTT